AAAAAAAAAAAAAAAAAGACAGTAAAGAAAGAAGGAAATTCAAAGACAAGGGAAATTCTTACCAAGAGGAGTGACACGGGGCTGCACATCCTTCAGAACTTCATGTAACCACTCCGTGAAACGAACATAGTAAAGATCAGAAAATATGTCATCTACTCTTCCATTTTCAAAAAGATACTAAAAGAAAAGTAATTGACAAATGTTACTGGTAATCTCGAGTAAAACCTTTGGAAAACATTTTTCACTACCACCACTTCCTTATTCTCTCCAACAAACAAACAAACAAAAAGTCAGGGGGTGATGGTGTATCCTTTTAGTCCCAGCACTTGGGAAGCAGAGGCAGGCAGATTTCTGTGGGTTCTAGGCCAGCCTGGTCTACGAGAGCTAGTTCCAGGACAGCTAGGGCTGTTACACAGACAAACCCTGTCTCCAAAAACCAAAACGAGATAAAATTAGAATTGTTCAACTAGTGTCATTCCCACAGCATACCTCAAATCACATTAACAGAAATTTACATTACTGACAGATGAACTAAAGGATCTTTTGTGAATACTATACATATAGGCAAGGTACTATAGTAAAAATCATGGGGGGGGGGGGAACGACGTGATGGAGACACGGATCAGTAGTTAAGAACACTTACTGCCTTTTCAAAGGACCCAAGGTTAAGTTTCCAGCATCCACATAGCCCCTACTGCTTACACATAGTGCCCATACATACACAGAAATACTCACACATACATATCAAATAAAATATCTCTTAAAAATCAAGAATAGAACTGGGGACTGGAGAGATGGCTCAGCTGTCAAAGAGGACAGACAGGGAACCTGGATTGAATTGCCACCACTCTCATGGAAGCTAACACCTATCTGTAACACCAAGAGCTAACATCCTCACATAGACAAGGAGACAAAACACCAATGCAAAAAAAAAAAAAAAAAAAAAAAATCAAGACTAGAAGCTGGGTGTGGTAGCACACACCTTTAATCCCAGCACTCAGGAAGCAGAGGCAGGCAGATCTCTGTGAGTTCGAGGTCAGCCTGGTCTACAAAGTGAGTTCCAGGACAGCCAGGGCTATATCGAGAAACTGTCTCCCTTACCGCTCCCCCCCCCCAAAGGGCCGGGGTGGTGTCACCCTGTCTGTTAAGGTTACTGTATTGTGGTAACATGTACAATCTTTTTTTTTTTTTTTTAATTTGGCTTAACTTTTTGAGATAGGGTCTCAACCTCTATCAGCTTCTGTTCCACACAACTGTGCTTAGAATTAAAGGTAGATACTGCCACATCCAACTTTAATCTTGTCAACATTATGACTAGAAGTGCTTCATCTACACATTGGCACCACATGTATGCCTACTGTCCTTGGAGGTCAGAAGAAAGCACTGGATCTCCTGGAACTGGAGTTAGGTATGGCAGTGAATCACCATGTAGGTACTGGGAACTGAATACATGTCCTCTTTAAGAGTAGTAAGTACTCTTAGGCCCTAACAAGTGTAAGTTTTTTCATTTCCTTTCTCATAAACTGAGATTACTACACTACCACCGTCTTCTATGAATAGAGACAGCACGTGAGAGACCTTGGGTAGTTCTGGGTTAGGACCAGAAGGAAAGGAATAAACCTGGAGGCTGACTGTTTTCAGAGCCAGGCAATAGAGTAAGCTCCAAGAGACAAGTCTTGTAACATCACACTGTGGAATCCTTTAGAGTCTTGAGTATGAAGAAATCTACCTCTGCTCCCCTAAACTGCCATTCTACCAGCCTCTCTGTTATCCTGAAAAGCCAAAAAGATTGGTATACAATTTTAGCCATACTCCCTCAAACCACTGTTTTTTTGTATTAATGTAAGGTATAATAAAAGTTATACTCGAGCACCAGATTGAGTAACTTTATGAAAACTACATGCTTACTTTAAGAAAATGAATTAAACAAATGTTTTTAAGAAAAAAAAAGTTGGGGCTGGAGAGATGGCTCAGAGGTTAAGAACACTGCCTGGTCTTCCAAAGGTCCTGAGTTCAATTCCCAGCAACCACATGGTGGCTCACAACCATCTGTAATGGGGTCTGGTGCCCTCTTCTGGCCAGCAGGCATACAGACAGACAGAATATTATATACATAATAAATAAATAAATATTTTTTAAAAAAGTTAATCATTAAATACATTCCACCATCAGTTCTGGGGATGAAATTTGGGTCATCAGCCTTAAACAGTAAGTACTTTCATGGGCTGAGCTACTTCACTGATCCTCATTAAATACTTGAACACATGATTTCCAAAGTGGTAGAATGATACATATTTATTTGCATATATTCTTTTCTAAGAAAACATACAGGCCATTATTTAAAAACAAAAACAAACAAAAGGCAAGATCTATGCAGCCTTGGCCAGCAGGAACTCCTAACAATCAGCCTGCTTTGTCTCCCCGAGTACTTGTCACTTTCCTAAATTAGAGTACTATGAAAGCATCCAATGAGAACAAGTTCAAACAAGTTCCTGTGCAGATCTGCTTCCTACCTTTTGTATACACAAGAAAATGTAGTAGAGTACGTCTGGGTCGTAGGGTTCACCTTCTCCATTACGAGCTTCGCGTGTCATTAAACAGAGGCCATAATTCAATTCGGCCACAGCAGAGGAGATCAGATCTTCTTGGAATCGTAGCAACTGGCGCCCTGTGACACAAGTTCCTAAGGGTGAGTGGGAGTCCTGGCAACAGTGACGTTTTAACTGGCTGATCACATTGTTCAAAGGCGAGCTCAGAGAAGATACTGCCCATCAAGGTTTGGGCTAGGAATGGCCATTGAATCTGTGCTCAGAACCGCTCTATTAACGCAGTAACATATGCTATTATGCTATCACATCAATAGGTTTCCTTTCCCTAAGGGCTAAGAAACGAAAGCAGAGAAATGCAAAAACCACATTCTATAATATGAGCAAATAAATGAGGCCAAAACAAGACAGGGTTTAAACACAACTCACTGGCACTTCCCAGTTCTTCCCAAAAGCCATTCTGCCTTGGTCTCTGTTGACACTAGAAATCCAAAGATTTAAAAATCTGGACGGGCAAATCCCATAAATCCTGTCCATTTTACAGGGTGAGGAGTACACCCTGTTCATCAGAAAAAAGTATACTTCCAAAGAAATTCTCTAGTCCTCAGAGTCAAAGATGCTACTTGCCTGCCATTCTGTTTTTCTTCTACTTAAGTTTTAGACACATCCAAGCCGCCCCTCCCTCTGAAACACTCACTCCCAATGGGGGCCAGTCTGTTTTGAGCATCCTTCTCTAGTTCAGCATTCTTGGTTTGAGCCCAGTTTTTCCATACTTCGAGCCCTTCTTCTGGCTTCAAAGAATTTGGAAGCAAAAGTTCTGGTGAAGGCTGTGGTTGTGACTGTGGCTCAACTTCAGCAACCTGAACAGTTTGTGCCTAGGAGATAGAAACCATCAGAATATGTCAATATTGTTTTTCATTAGGTCCTGTAGTTCTGACTACACCAGTTCTCATTTAATATTTTTATTACATTTTTAAATTGTATGTGTGTATGTGTGCCATTGGTGTGCCTGCGGAGGGCAGAAAAAACTTATGGAAGTCAGTTCTCCTCCTACCATATGGTTCTGAGGGACTGAATTCAGGAAGACAAGCTTGGAGAAAGTGCTGTTACCCACTAAGTCATTTTGCTAGCTCTTGATTCTCATTTAAAACCACTACTATAGACCAAGCATGGAAACACATGATTGTACTGACAGTACTTTGGAGGCTGAGACAGAGTTGCAGTGTCACTTCAAGTTCGAGACCAGCCCAGGCTTTATAGAAAATATAAGGCTAGCCAGGGCTATGAAAGTAGGACTTGGGTCTACAAAAACCAAACCAAACCAAACAAGAAAACTAGGTAGTGGTGGCACACACCTTTAACCCCAACACTCAAGGCAGAGGCAGGCAGATTTCTAATTTCGAGACTAGCCAGGTCTACAGAGCGAGTTCTAAGACAGCCAATGAGAAACCTAGAGAGACCCCTCCCCCCCCCAAAAAAGAAAGATACACATAAAAGAAAAAGAAACATGCACACAAAAGAAAACAAAACCTACTGCCAATACCCCAAACCTCCCTAGAATCTCTCCAAAGGGTAGAGTCCAAGTTTCAGTCTTTTTGTTTTTTGAGACAGGGTTTCTCTATAGTTTTGGAGCCTGTCTTGGAAAACTCTCTCTGGCCTTGGAACACAGAAACCCTCCTGCCTCTGCTATTGGAGTACTGGGATTAAGGCATGTACAACCACTGCCCAGCTATCAATCTTTTAAAAGCTCCCTAAGTAAGAGGCTTATTTTCAAACACTACTTCAAAAATTCACTGTGCAGAGCTGAACAGACGGCTCAGAGGTTAAGAGCACTGGCTGCACTTCCAGGTAGGTCATGAGTTAAATTCCCAGGAACCACATGGTGGCTCACAACCATCTGTGATGAGATCTGGTGCCCTCTTCTGGCCCGCAGGGATACATGCAAACAGAACACTATATATATAATAAATATATAAATCTTTTTAAAAATTTTCACTGTGCAAATAAAATACTTAAGCATTTTATTAAAATGTTTAAAAGTGACTGAAAACATCTGGGTTGGGACCTGAGAAGATCACATATCTAAGAAATTCCCAAGTAGAAACAAGATTGCTAAACTGTAGGTTATATATCCAATTCCAAATGTGCAGAGTAGAGATTCTTAAAATTTAGTCACAAACCTGGTAGTATAAATCAGTAATTCCAGCATATGGAAGATTGGGGGGGGGTAAAGAGAGGTCAGGCCACACTTAGCTGTGTAATACCTTTAAGTCCAAGTAGGTTACATAAAACTCTGTTATCAACCAAAACAAAAAAACAACCTTTCTTCTACCTTAAAAATTACCTAAACTGGTAGGAAAATGCCCATGTCTGGGACCTATTCCCAGACTCTAATTTGAATGGTCTTCTATGACAAAGGGCTGGAATCAGCACTAGGGAGGCTAGAATAGCATGGCTGAGTGCTTGGTTTACCACTTACGGAGCCCTAGGAGACTGGTGTGTAGGAGTATACTCCTGCCTGTGATCCTTGAAGTGTAACCCCATCCCCCGTGAGGTAGGCATGATCCATGCATATAATCCAACATTTAAGGGGGTGAGAAGAACCAATGTTCCCCTGATAATTTTAGTATAGAACAATCAATAGACAAAGAAAAGTAAAAACAAATAGTGAAGACTATGTTGTCACTGTAAAATCCGAGATAAGACTTGAGACTCTTCATGGTTTTTCCAATTTATAAAACTTCTGTATTTTTCAGACAGGGTTTCAGGGTGGCTTCAAACTCTTGATCTTCCTGCTTCAACATCCTAAATATGATAGAACTACAGGCATCAGACACCATGCCAGCTTGAAGTTCTACTTTTCAGGATTTTTCTCAAATAATACTCTCGTCCCTAAGTACATAATCCATTTTCATTTTTCTCTGAGACAGGGTTTCTCTGTACAACCCTGGGTGTCCTGAAACTTATTAGATAGACCAGGCTGGCCTCAAACTCAGAGATCCATCTGCCTCTGCTCCCAGGTGCTGGGATTAGAGGCACGTGCTATCACCATCCAGCTAATAAAATACTTTTAGCAGGGAGATAAAGCAATGTGTTCGTGGCGTCATGTTGAGACTCAAAACTGTTCTATGTTTGAGTAGGACTCCACAAGGAACCTGCACAAACGTCATCAGAGTACTTGTCTCACACTCACAAACCCTGGAATCACTCTCCAGCACTACTAGCACCCACCCAAACAAATAAAAAAAGTTGAGCTATTTAATAACATGGGAAAACTTAAAATGAGGGGGGAGATTGGTTAGGTCAGAAGTTAGACTACATTCATCCAAGTTGATTACATACAAAACACTCATTTATTAAAACTAGAAGTAACATTTGATGTTTTACTGACACAGGTAAAGGAACTCACTCTGTAGACCAGGCTAGTCTTGAAATCACAGAGATCTGTCTGCCTCTGCCTCCTGAGTGCTGGGACTAAATACGTGCACCACCACGCCCTGTTCAAAAGATGTTTTTCTGCGCTCACGTGGGTACATACACCTATGTGCAGACCTAAGGAGGACAGGGAAAGACAGAGTTCTGCTCTATCATTACTATTCAGTTTTACTCCCTTGAGCTAGGTTCTCTCACTGAACCCCAAGTTCATCAGTTTGGGCTAGGCTGGTCAGTTAATAAGTTCCTAGAATTCACTGTCTCTGACCCCAGTGTTGAAGTTAGATATTTTTGCTATGCCTGGCATTTTATGGGGATGCAGGACAATCTCCCCAACTCCTTTTCTGTTTAATTTAAATTTTACTTTATGTACATGGGTGCTTTGTCTGCATTCATGTCTGCTCACACAGTATGTGTGTGCCTGGCACCCTTAAGACGCCTGACGAGAAGTCAGACATGGTGGTGCCCACCTTTAATCCCAGCACTCAGGAAGTGGAGGCAAGCAGATCTCTAAATTTGAGGCCAGCCTGGTTTAAGAGCAAGTTCCAGGACAGCCAGGGCTACTTAGAGAAACTGTGCTTCAAAAAGAAAAAAAAAAAAAAGTATAAAAATCCAGACATGATTCAAAAATAACAATAAAAACCCACAACTGAAGCTGGATGTAGTGGTATACACATCTGATCTCAACTACTTGAGAGGCTAAGGCAAGAGAACCAGTTAAAACCAGATCAAGATGGGCTTGTGGAGCCTGGCCCTCCTGTCCACGGCTGACCCACTCTGTGTCCCTAGCTCCAGAATCTCTGGGTGCTAGCCACGGAAGCATGCGATGGTTTTGCTGTCTCTGTGCCTACTTAAAGAAAGGACTTTTGGTTGAATTAAAAAAAAAAAAATTCTGGAGTGGTTTGCATGCCTGTAGTTGTAGGTCAGGCTGGGCTGTATAAAATAAAGCAAAACAAAACAAAATTTGCCAGCATTCTGCCGCAACAACAATGGCGAGTTAGGGAATGCCGTGGCAGGCTACAGGTGGGGAAGAACAGCACATTTTTGAGTGGAAATGGAACTGGAAGGACAGTGCTAAGAAGGACTCTGCCTTGTCCCTGTACCCTACCCATTAACGCTGTTCTTGGAGGTTGGAATTCCCTCTTGGTAAATTCTGGGATAGAGAAGGGGAATGCGAACCTTAGGAGAAGTTGTCTTAGCAGCAGTGGGTCTGATCACAAGAAGCAACTTCCATTTGGTGGTTTTCTTTTTCTTGAACTGTCTGTGTAGGTGGCACATGCATTTACTCCCAACACTCGGGATGTTAGCTGCCAGGAGATCATCTACAACTGTGTGTACCTTTAGCCATTTAAAAAAAAAAAAAATGCCGCCGGGCGATGGTGGCGCACGCCTTTAATCCCAGCACTCGGGAGGCAGAGGCAGGTGGATCTCTGTGAGTTCGAGACCAGCCTGGTCTACAAGAGCTAGTACCAGGACAGGTTCCAAAGTTACAGAGGAAACACTGTCTCAAAAATAAATAAATAAATAAATAAATAAATAAATAAATAAATAAATAAATAAATAAATAAATAAATGGAGGATTGAGGGGAATAAGACTATAGATGACTGACTAGCATGCATGAAGCCCTAGATTTAAGCCTCATCATACATAAAACCAAGTGTGGTGGCCCACACATTCAACTGAAGCAGAAGAATCTGCTGTTCAAGTGTTAAGGTCAAGTCTGAGTTACATGAAACTAAACAAAAAGACTGTAGATATAGTTCAGGGTAGATTTCTTCCCTAACATCTGTGAGGTCCTGGGCTCAATCTCTAATACTGAAAAAAAAAAAAAAAAGAAAGAAAAATATCTAAGTGACAACAGCTCAGAAACCAGGATCAAGATGGAGATGAAAATGAGACCAAAGGAGGAAGGTTTCACTACAAAATCAGGAAATGAAGGCTTTCAGAAAAGGCATGGCTCTCCCCAAACCATTTTAACTGTGGAGTTCCTACTTTCTCACCAGCTCTTCTTAAAGTTCAAATTAAAGCACAATTGTTTTCTCCATGCGCTATTAAGTGGTATAAACACTGAAGAAACTGTCTTGTTTTGTTTTAGATGGTCTTGCTATGTGGCCTAGGCTGGTCCTGAACTTGTGATCCTCCTGCTTCAGTTTCTGGAGCTCTGGTATTAAATAGGCATGCACAACAGGCTAGTTGCTAATTTTCTTATTTTTGCCACTTTTTTCCTACTTTGTTTTCTGAGACAAGGTATCATTACATAGTCCTGAATGGCCTACAACTTGCAAGCTGCCCTTGAACTCAAGAGATCTATTTGCCTCTGCCTCCCAAGTGCCAGCATTACAGGTGTGTACACCCACATCCAGAACCTTTCAATAGATCTACTAAGAGGTATTTCAGGTCTTTTAACTTGTTTATATCATATTAAAGGATAAATAAAGGGAAAATCTATCTCACAAACTCTCCACCATGAATTTACTACCTGTGTGTTAATGGCTCAACAACAGCTGTTAATGTAAGTAGCCCAGAGACATATATAACACTTTGGGGTCTTCCATTCATCATAGTATTATCTTTTCTCACCATAAAAATATTACAAGGAAATATTACAGGCACCCCACTCCAAATACTCTAAAATCTAAAGAATTACTGGTCATTAATTCCAAAAATGATAAACTTCTTGTCTGTTTATATAGCCTCATCCACTGCTTTTCTTCCTTGCCCTATATAATTATCACTACTTTTTAAACTTTGTTTTTCAGGACAGTGTTTCTCTGTGAAACAGTCCTGGCTCTACTGGAACTCACTCTGTACATCAGGCTGACCTCAAACTGACAAGAAATCCACCTGCCACAGTGCTGGAATTAAAGGCAAGCGCTACCATCACCCAACTATACTATCACTATTAAGACAAACATAATGGAATAAATAATCCACACACTATAGTGAATTCTATGTTACACCAGAATCCAAGGAAGGAAAATTCCCTACAGATTTAGTCTCACTTACTGAACAAGTAACCTGGAGCTGTTGCTGCTGTTGGGGTGGTGGTGGTGTCTGTTCTTGTGCAGTTTGCTGCTGTGGCTGCTGCTGTGGGTCCCATATATGTACAGTCTGAGCCGTATTCTGGTACGTGCCTGCAACGGCCTGCACAGCCACTGGAATATGGATGTTGCCATTCATGAACTGTGCTGGAAAGAGAGAGTTTGCAAGGGTCTGCACTACCTCTTCATGGGAGTTTTTCACTACAGATGTGGTGCCCACCATCTTCTCCTTGTCATCCTCCAGCTTTACAGCTGCCAGGGCTGTGGGCGAGCCACTGACGTGGACTGCGTTGTAGGCTTCCTGGGGAATGGCAATGTGAGTAATGCTCTGCTGCTGAGGGTCCCCCCGGGGCTGGGCAGAATAAACAGGGATGGTCCAAGTTTCTCCTGTAGGGCTAGTTATGGTCCCAGTGGCACTGTACAAGTGGGCACTGTCTACTGTCAGTAAGTCTGGCCTCAAAGACACGTAACTCTGCTGCTGGCCCTGTGGAATGGCCAGCACGGTGGCCACTGGCTGCCCTGAGATGGCGTAGGACACGGTGATGGGCATGTCCACTTTGCGTTTCTTCACTGGCTGAAGGACACTGGCTGTGCCAACCCGCCGTTCTCCTTCCCGGGGTGAGCCCTGCTGGGACGGTGGCGGGGAAAGGGCACCCACGGTCTGGATTTGAATCTGCTGACCCCCAGCAAGAGACTGGCCAGCCACCAGCTGAGCCTGGATTTGTTGATGTGGGATATGTTCCTCTGGGATTTCTGCAGCCTGGATCTGCTGGGCTGCCTGCACGTGCTGCACCTGGATCTGGGCTGCTTGCAGCTGCGAGGGGCTGGGGCTCTGCAGAGATGGGGTCTGGATGGAGGGGGCTGCTGACTGCGGTGGTTGGCCCTGGATCTGCACCTGGACCTGGATAGGCTGCTCAGCAGGCTGGTGAACCGTGAACTGAGGGGAAAGTTGCTGAGCTGAGACTTGCTGTGGAGACTGCTGTACCTGCACCTGTACCTGCAGGAACAAGATTCAACGGTGAGTAAAGCAAGCGACATACAGCTCCCAGGACCCTGTAACATGAATGAGCAAGGGGGACTACATCAGTCAAGGCTTCTGGCAGTCACAATGCCACCAAACCCATAGGAAAACTTCTTCAACATACATAAAATTTACAGTAAGATATATCTACCCCTGGAAATAAGATGATTAACAGAGATCTAAGAACAAACCATTAGAACACTTTTCACTTTTAATTTTTTTTGAACATGTGCCCCTTTGGTTTTTTTGCACATTTGTAGAGTGGTATAAGCATATATGTAAGTATATGCTTAAATTTGTCTTTATTAGGGTTGGAGTGTTGGCTCAGTCATTATAAGAACTGACTACGCTTTCAGGATCTGGGTTCAACTCCTAGTACCCACGTGGTAACCCTCTGTAAGTGCCATTCCAGATTTGACATGCTCTTCTGTACTACAAGAGCATCACACATGTGGTACACAGATACACAGACATACACATATGCAAAACTATAAACATAAAATTAAAGTGTCAAATCTTATAAACTAAAATTTTATTTAAGCTGGGCATGGTGGTGCATGCCTTTAATCCTCCCAAGTGGGAGGTAGATGGATCTCTGTGAGTTCGAGGTCAGCCTGGTCTACAAAGTGAGTTCTAAAACAGCCAAAGATACACAGAGAAACTCTGTCTCGAAAAACCAAAATAAATAGTGTGATTTTTTAAAAAAATAAAAACAAACAAATAAAAAAAACCAGCAGCATCCAATTACCTGAATCAAATCTAACTCCTCTGCAAGCCACTGTGGCACATGTTTTTAATATACCAGCACTCAGGAGGCAGAGGCAGGCAGACCTATGTGAGTTAAGAGAGGCCAGCTTGGTCTACACATGGGCACACATACACACAAAATAATTAAAGCAGATTCTGCTATGTGTCATGGTGCACACTTGTAATTCTACATTTGAGAAACTGATACAGGAGGACAGTGAGTTTGAGACCTAACCCCAACTAACAATAACAAAACACATTACAACTGAATTTAACATTATTTTATAAATATAATGCTGTTGGGTTTTTTTTGTTGTTGTTGTTGCTGTTTTGTTTTTTCGAGACAAGCTTTCTCTGTAGCTTTGGAGCCTGTCCACCTAGCTTTTGTAGACCAGACTGGCCTCGAACTCAGAGATCCATCCACCTGCCTCTGCCTCCCAAGTGCTGGAATTAAAGGCATACGCCACCACTGGATTTTTAAATCCAATTTTATTTGGGGGAGGTAGCACTGCTGGTAGATCCCTAGCACGTGACAGTAGTAGTGCGCACCAGCACTCCCAGCCGTTTGTAGGTGACTATTTACTGAGTTCTAGCTTAACCTCTGAAAGTTAAGACTCTGTCTCAAAAACAACAGTAACAGCAAACACATAGGCAAGAGATATTGCTCAGTTTGTTAGTTGGTAGAGTGCTTGCCTAAAATTTGCCAAGAACTGGGTACAAGGGTCTGTAATCCTAGCACTTGGGAACAGAAGTTCAAGATTATACTTGACTAAAAGCAGAGATTAAGACAGGAACTTGTAATCCTGTCTCAAAAAAAAAAAAAAAAAAAAAAAAAAAAAAAAAAAAAAAAAAAAAAAAAAACACTAAACTAGTGACTGAAATACATTTGCTTTGGTAGTCTTTTATGAGAGGGAAAGAATACCTTAAAGGTAAGATACATTGGTTGTGATAGTTCACACCTAAAGTCTTTGCACTATGCAGACAGAGGCAGAGAAATCTTATATAGAGAAATCTTATCTCAATAAACATCACCACCACCAAGAGTAAAAGCTAGCATGTATACAATAACTGTTACACCACAAGCCAATGTTTAAGTGTGATGTCACTCAGGAATAAAACTAACTAAAATTATGCTTTTAAGTATGTATGTAGACAATCTTACTTAATTTTTAGAAAACTTATTAGCCCTGTGGTGGTGGCACACGCCTTTAATTCCAGCACTTGGGAGGCAGAGACAGGTGGATCTCTGAGTTCAAGGCCAGTCTGGTCTACAAAGCAACTTCTAGGACAGATTTCAAGCAACAGAGAAACCTTGTCTCAAAAAATGAATTATTGACATGTGTGGTGGCACATGCCTTTAATCACACCTCTAGGCAGGCAGAGGCAAGAGAATCTCTTGTGAATTCAAAGTCAGCCTAGTCTACAAATGGAGTTTCAGGACAGCCAGACTGTTACACAGAGATACTCTACGTCATAAATAAATAAATGAGTAAGTAAATAAATAATTAAATAAAGCCGGGCGGTGGTGGCGCACACCTTTAATCCCAGCACTCAGGAGGCAGAGGCAGGCGGATCTCTGTGAGTTAGAGACCAGCCTGGTCTACAAGAGCTAGTTCCAGGACAGGCTCCAAAACCACAGAGAAACCCTGTCTCGAAAAACAAAAAAACAAAAAAAAAAAAAAAGAAAGGGAGATGCATAAAATTCACAGCACACACACCTGGTAGTAGGTCACCAGTTCCTAAAACTCACAACTGTTTGTAATTCCAGTTCCAGGGAATCTGATACCCTCACTTAAACATACATGTATCTAAAGTAAAATAAAACTCAACCACAATACAATGCAAAAACCAACAAAAACCAAAACTACTTGAAGGAAACTATTTCCTCTAAAGCTCCCTCAAAAAAAAAAAAACCTATGCCTCAGTCAATGTATTCACTCTTCCATTCTTCCATTTTGAATAAGCATTATCGCAGCATTATCTGAGGCTAATAAGTAGAAAATGCCAACCTAGAAATCTATAGGTGACCAAGATTTTTTTGTTTTCCAAGACAGGGTTTCTCTGTGAAAGTCCTGGTTGTCCTGGAACTCTGTAGACCAGGCTGGCCTCGAACTCACTGAGATCCACCTCCCAAGCGCTGCGATTAAAGGTAGGCAGTACTACTGCCAGCAGTGATCAAGATTTGAGATGTACACCAGATTTTAATTTTAAGGCAGGTTCCAAATGATGCCGCACTTTCCACAATGAGTCCAAACTAGTTGTCCTGTGCTTTCTGCTCAGGTTGTCACAGAAAGAAGAAAAGGCTCAGTCACATGAAACTGTCACACTCAATTCAGTGCTAGCCTCTGCTTTCTGCATTGCTCAAGCTTTCTAAAGCAAAAATCAAATACCTGCAGATTTCATAAGTTTACAGTGACTAAAGAGAGCACCAACAATAGGAAAGATTCTCCATGTTAGGAAAACAATCTCCAATATTTCTTTCCTTCTTTGTTTTTTTTTTTTTTTTATTGGCGGGGGGTGGGGGGGTGAGACAGGGTTTCTTTGTAGTTTTGGAGCCTGTCCTGGAACTCGCTCTGTAGCTCAGGCTGGCCTCAAACTCACAGAGATATGCCTGCCTAAGCTTCCCGAGTGCTGGGATTAAAGTTGTGCACTGCCACCACCACCCAGCAACTTCCAACATTTCTAACATTTGTATAGGTATATTTTAACTAATCAAAACTGTGAGGAAAAATATAAAGTTTATTTATAGGCTCCAACTTAGTATTTCCTCTTACCTGAACCTGCTGTGGCTGCTGAACCTGGATTTGCTGTTCTTGCTGAGTTTGTGGTTGAACACTGGTTGTGACTGGACAAGCAAGTTCAAGCAAAGACCCAGCCACTTCAGTACTGTCTGTGTATATGCAGTTCCCACCCTGTTGGTACACCATGGTGGTGGTGGCAGTCTGCTGGAACTCTTGAAGAGCTTCTGGTCCCTTAGACGCCAGTGAGTCCAGAAATTCCTTCATCCTGTGCTGGGGGACAGACCTCGCCTTCACTCGGATGTACTCTTCAAATGAGATGGTATTCTCCAGAGAATTATTCATATTGCAGAGTCCTTAGGGTTCCTAAAATTAAAATGGACAGTCAATATTTTGCTACTGTTAGCATACTGTTTATTTTTTACATTAATTTATTAGGAGTGGGCATGCACATGCCAAGGCATGCGTGTGGAGGTCAGAGGACAACCCACTTGAGTTGGTTCTCTCTTTCCACCACGTGGGACTCAGGGATCAAACTCAGATCATCAGGCTTGGCAACAGGTGGCTTTATCTGTTGAGCCATCTTACCAACCCTATTGTTTGTATATCTTGAAAACCTGAAATTCAGAGACAATTACTCTGATAATGAGAATGGAATGTGTATTTCAAAGCAAAGTTTTATTATACCACCTTCCCCCTCCCCAAAAATAAACTGTAGGACGTTTTGGTTTTTTGTTTTGTTTTGAGACAGGGTTTCTCTGTGTAGCTTTGGCTGTCCTGGAACTCACTCTGTAGACCAGGCTGGCCTCGGACTCAGAGATCCACCTGCCCCTGCCTCCAGAATGCTGGGATTATTAAAGGCATGCGCCACCGCCACCAACACCCGGCAGGATTTCTTTTTTAAAGATAGGAGCTCACTATGAACCTTTGGCTAACCTGCAATTGCTATGTTAAGCAGGCTGGTAAGCCCACAGAAATGTATCTGCATCTGCCTTGAAAGTTCTATGCCCGGCTCTGTGGGGGTATTTTAATGTTTACATTTCTCATTGGTCTTATCATTAGGAGTATGTGTACAAGATAATGTATGGGCACACATGTCATGTGTATAAAATCAGAGACAAATTCACAGTAAGTGCCACTCCAATGCTGTGACGTATAGTAGAATTATTTGTGTATGCCATCTATCAAGATCTCAGAGACAGGGGCATGCTGCTGTCTACTAGTAACACCAGAAATTGCTGGTGGCGCACACCTTTAATCCCAGCACTCAGGAAGTAGAAGCAGGCATTCTTTGAGTTTGAGGTCAGCCTGGGTCTACACAGTGAGCTTCATGGCAGCTAGGACTGTCACACAGAGAAAAAAAAAAAAAAACACATAAAAGAAACACCAAAAATCTGCTGGATTTAGGGGTGCACTCCTTGTTCACCTATACACATGTAATCCCAGTACATGGCAGGCTGAAGCAAGAGTATCCCAAGCCAAAGGCCAGAAGGAACTACATGCTACATATACTAAGACACCACTAAGAAAAGAGCAAAGGAAAGAAAAAAGGAAAGACCAACAATCTCATTTTGCCATATACTGCTCACATTCTTTGGCAGCTTGGCTAAAAACATTAAAAAATAAGGCTCTAGAGCCCTATTACCTAATTTCATATTGCACCTTGACATCAACTGTGTTAACTCTAGGCAAACCAGTTAACTTCAGTTTTCTTCTATTAAATAGGAATAAAATAGCACTTACCTCAGAGTCAACATGAAAGAATATGTGTGTGTGTAAGGCTTGGAAAAATACTTGAGAAACAGGCAGCACTAGGGAGGCAGAGGCAGGACTAATTTTATTAAAATAACTTTAAGTGGGGCTGGTGAGATGGCTCAGTGGTTAAGAGCACCTTTTTGCAGAGGACCAGGGTTCAATTCCCAGTATCCACACAACATCTCACAAGCACCTGTAACTCCAATTCAAAGGAATCTGACAACCTCTTCTGGCCTCTGTGGTAGCATGAATGCATGTGGTACGTGGAGGCAAAACACCCTATCCACATAAAACAGATAAATCTAAAATAAATTAGAAGGAACTGAAATAGTAACTTAAGTAACTTAAATATTTAAGTCACTACTACTAAAATTCAGAAATCGATTTTACACATTTTTTCATCAAGTATCTAAGACAAAAATAACCTGGAACCAGGAAGGGCCTGTAATTCAAGCACTGAGGAGGCCAAATCAGGAGGATCATGAGTTTAAGGCCAGCTTGAGCTACATCATTCGACTTTGCCTCAAAAAAAGGGGGGGGGGGCATTAGGTTTTAGGTCTGTAACTTCAGCATTCAGAAGAGGGAGTCCAGAGAACCAGAAGTTCAAGGTCATCTATCTGCAAGGTGGCAAAAGCAACTGATAAGACTTTCAAAACAAAAGGGCCATCAAGGGCTCAATAGTAAAAAACGCTTTCATTCAAGACCTGTGACCTAAGTTTAACCCTTACAACATATATTATGGAAGAAAGGAACCAACTCCCACAACTGCCCTCTGACCTCCATACATGTGTCCTGGCACACACAAACACACATGCGATGAATGATGGGTGTTAAGAAAGTTTAAAAAACAAGCCAACAAGAACAAAAAGCACGATGATCTATGGACACTAAATTGACTGTCAACACAGCTTCTGCAGTATCCTTTTGGGCAGCCCCACCTCCCCATCCCCCCAAAAAAGGACTCTCAGTTGATCTCAAATGTCTGGAAAAGTGATTTATTCCCCTGAGCCATAGGCAAGAAACACTAGTGTCACTACTAAGATGCTCCACCTATGCTGCAGACTCAGGCTTGTGGGCAATCATCAACTTCCTTTCACCTGACTCTGAAACTACTGGCAGACAAAACTGTCCTACTCCTCTCTACACAGTCCACATATGGCAGGTGCTTACAGACTTCGTACATTTATAATTCAAGGTCTAGCAAAAGAATTAAGAGTCTTCTGCGGCTAGAGAGAAGGCTGAGAACATTTGCTGCTCTTCCAGAGGATGCAGGTTCAAATCCCAGTACTCACATCAAGAGGCTTGGGCTGGAGAGATGGTTCAGTGGTTAAGAGCACTAGCTGCTCTTTCAGAGGTCCTGAGTTCAATTCCCAGCAACCACATGGTGGCTCACAACCATCTGCAATAAGATCTGGCGCCCTCTTCTGGTGTGCGGGCATACATGGAGGCAGAATGTTGTATACATAATAAATCTTAAAAAAAAAACTTACAACAGCCTGTAACTCCAGCTTCAGAGGATTCAGTGCTATCTTCTAACTAACCAACACTGGCAGAAACATATACACATGAATAAAATTTTAAATATTCTAATTCTTCCCCTTTTTCTCTCCTTTTTTGTTTTTGTTTTTCGAGACAGGGTTCTCTGTGTAGCTCTAAAGCCTGTCCTAGAATTTACTCTGTAGACTAGGCTGGCCTCAGACTCAGTGATCTGCCTGCCTCTGCCTCCTGAGTACTGGGATTAAAGGCGTGGGCCACTATAGCCCAGCAAGATAATCTTATATCCCTGGTTGGCTCGGAATTTACTATGTGAACCAGGCTGGCACTGAACTCAGAGATACTCTTAGCATCTCCCTCCCTTTTATATGAGATTAAAATGCATACCACCATGCCCAGCTTCATTAGATTCAAAGTAGGTTTTCAGTGAGTGACCCAAAATTACTGACTCACTCTACAGACACAGAATGTATCAATCCTCCAATTTTCTTAAGAAGATGGCTCTCATAGTAAAGACCAAATAGCAAGGCTGGCATGTTGGTAAAGTGCTTGCTTGTCTTTTAGGACAAAGCTACAGGGTTCAATCTCAAAAACTTCCTAAATTAGATATAGTGGTACATTAGGGAGATGTAATACAGGAAGAACAAGGTCATCCTCAGCTACAAAAAAATTGGGATACAGGAAACCTTGACTCAAAAATACTCAGTATCTCACAGTGGCATTGCACGTCTTTAAACCCAGCACTCAGAAGGCAGAAACAGCAGATCTCTGTGAGTTCCAGGGCAACACAGAGAAACACTGTCTTGAAAAACCAACCAACCTTCTGAGGCTAAAGAGATGGTTCAGAAGTAAAGAACACTGGCTGCTCTTCCAGAGGTCCTGAGTTCAATTCCCAGCAACCACATGGTGGCTCACAACCATCTAAAATGTGTTCCGGTGCCCTCTTCTGGCATGCGGTGCAGGCAGAACACTATAGGCAGAATAAATAAATTAATCTTAAAAATAAAAACCAACCAACCAAACAACAAAACAAACCCCTCAACATCTCAATATTATAAATTTCCTAACATACAGGACTCTTATCTATTACAAACACCCTTCTGCTCTAAAGGAGACTAAAGTGAGATTACATGAGAACATATTCACATGTCGTCTACAATGCTGGTACATATTTCAGTTTTTCCAACTCCATTACAAAGGGGATATTGTTTAAAATAGGATATTTGGATCCCCAATTGTGCAGGGCCAGGAAAATAGCTTAGTAGATAAAGACACTTGCCACCATGCCTCAAACGCCTGAGTTTAAGTCTTCAACTCTTAGGACCTATACGAGGGTAGGAGAAGAGACCCAACTCCTACAAGTTGTCCTGTTACCTCAACATGCAAGCAAGCTATGGTGGACTAATTCCTGTACGTAACTATGTGAGATACACACATAAAGTTCAGATAGCTAAAAGGAAGCTGCCTGGAAATTTTAGAACTGAGATGACAGGCATGAGAACAGTTTCAAGTTTAAGGTCAGCCCAGTCTATATAGTGAGTTCCAGCCCACTTTGCGCTATGCGACATACAAGATCCTATCTCAAAAACACAGATGGGGGCTGGAGAGATGGCTCAGTGGTTAAGAGCATTGCCTGCTCTTCCAAAGGTCCTGAGTTCAATTCCCGGCAACCACATGATGTAATGAGGTCTGATTCCCTTTTCTGGACTGCAGTCATACACAGACAGAATATTGTATGCATAATAAATAAATATTAAAAAAAAACACAGGTGGGTGCTGGAGAGATGGTCCAGAGGTTAACAGCACTGGCCACTCTTCCAAAGAGCCTGAGTTCAATTTCTAGCAACCACATGGTAGCTCACAACAATCTGCAATGATATCTGGTGTCTGGTACCCCCTTTTAGCAAGCAAGCATACATTCAGGCAGAACAATGTATACATTATAAATGAATAAATTAAAAAAAAAAAAAAACTGGGCCGGGCGATGGTGGGGCACGCCTTTAATCCCAGCACTCGGGAGGCAGAGGCAGGCGGATCTCTGTGAGTTTGAGACCAGCCTGGTCTACAGAGCTAGTTCCAGGACAGGCTCCAAAGCCACAGAGAAACCCTGTCTCGAAAAACCAAAAAAAAAAAAAAAAAAAAAAAAAACAACTGAACAGGTACTGGGAAAAAAGTTCAAACAACAAAAACAAACATGAATACCTGAGTTCAATCCCTAGTTGAGCACTGCAGCTTGAGACTGTAATCTAAGCACTGGGGAGGCAGAGACAGGTAGATCCCTCAGGTTTGCAAAACAAACCAACTGGTTCAATGGTTCTCAATCTTCCTAATGTTGCAACTTTTTAATACAGTTCCTCATGTTGTGGTGAACTCCAACCATAAAATTATTTTCATTGGTACTTTATAACTGTAATTTTGCTAGTATTATGAACCATAATATAATATAAATGTCTGTGTTTTCTGATGGTTTTGGGGTCATTCGACATCCACCCCAAGGAGTCAAGTTAAATAGGTCATCTCTATAATACAGGAGGCCATGTCATAAACTAAGGAGTGACTAAAAGGTCCTAACGCTAAAACTCTGGCCTCCCACAAATACATGAACCAGGACACACATGCGTATGTACATACACGCCAAAACCAACAACAAAAAAGCAAATAGAAGGCTGAGGAAATGGCTCAATTGTTAAAGAACTTGCCCACAATAACCTAGCCATGAGTTCCAGGTTCAATGAGAGCGCCTATTCCAGAAAATAAGGTGGAGTGAAGAAGGCCACATTATACCAACCTCTGGCCTCCACACACACAGGCACTATTAGTAGTACACATATCTAATCCAAGCACATAGCTATATGCTATGAGCTTGAAGCCAGAAAGACCTTGTGCAAAGGAACAAAAACAATAAAAAGGAGTCCTAGAACATAAACTTGGTCTGAAACAGGGATTACAGGTGTTTGCCACCACTCCCTGGTTGTTCACTGATTCTTTACAAATTTTAAGCATTTACAACCTAAGATTTGAGTCATCTGAATAACTCCTCACCTTCTCAATTTGCTGAAAATCGAACCTGGTCTTCTAAAAGAACAACCAATGCTCTTCAATGCTGAATCCACAGTAAAACTCTGCAGTGGTCTAAGCTTAGAATCAGCTAACACCATGTGGTACGTCAAGTGTAAGTCAAAGCACATTTGAGAGTAAGCTCAACTTGAAACTCCCTACAGGTCTATAAAATCAGCGAACTAGCAGGGCAAGGTGGTGAACATCTTTAATACCAACACTCAGAAGACAGAGGCAGGAGGATCTGAGTTTGAGGTCAGCCTGGTCTCCAGAGCAAGTTCCAGTACAGCCAGAGCTACAGAGAAACCACCTTGAAAAAAATATACAAAAACAAAACAAAACAGGGCTGGAGAGAAGGCTCAGCGGTGAAGAGCAGTACCTGCTCTCCCAGAGATCCTGAGTTCAATTCCCAGCAACCACATGGTGGCTCACAATCTGTAATGGGATCTGATGCCCTTTTCTGGCAAGCATAAAGACAGAGCACTCATGTACATAAAATATATAAATAAAAAAATCTTTTTAAAAAATAGAATAAAATAAAACAAAGACCCAAAGGAAGCGAAAACATTTTAACAAATGGATTCAATGGAGAACTTTATTTTTAAAACTTTCATTATGCAGCTGGACGTAGTGGTGCACACCTTTAATCCCAGTCTCAGCACTTTTGAGGGAGAGACATGAGTTAAAGGCCAGCCTGGTCTGAGTTCCAGAATTGCCAGGGCTGCTATACACAGAGATCCTGTCTCGAAAAAACAAAAAGAGAAAAAAAATTACATGTATGTAGTGGATATTCGCTCCACCGTGGGCTGTCTGGCCCAACATAGGCAGTGCTTCTTGTCTGCCTACAGGTGACCTCTTATAATAAAGGAGGGAAGGTGGTCATGCTCTCTTGCTCCCTTGGGTGAAGACTAAATCAGACAACATGAAGCAGTGTGCAATCAGTCCCCAGTTTTCAAAGGACTCTGCATATCCTGTATTCATAAATCTATTTCCCCTTTCATATCGTAATAAATCCTTGATACCCCTTAAACAGACACACATGGATTTCTCTTAACAACATGTATTTGTGTGTGTATACCTGCATGTGTGTAGAGGTCAGAGGATAATCCATTGGGGTCTGATCTCTACCATTCGGGTCCTGGGGATTAATAAGTATTGTGATTGGTAACAAGTGCCTGTATCTGCTGAGCCATTCCCAACGCAGAACTCAAAACTTTTACTTAAAAAAGTTACTTTGAACGAACTTTCCAAACCTGCAAATTGTTATAGAAAGCACAGCTAGTTTTCATTTCTTGTCCTTATAACCTACAAACTTGAAACTATCCATTACAGTTCAATATCCCAATAAACAAAAGTTCAAACTAGCTTCAACCTGATACACAAATGCTGCTTTGGAAAACAACAAAGACAACACCCTTATAGCAAATTTTTCAAAGAGTTCATGTGCTATACACAACACACACTTTTGAGACAAACTACAACTTACAATGTAGACCATGCTGGCCATAGAACTCAGAGATCCTTCTGCCTCTGCCTCCTAAGTGTTGGAAATTCTGGGATTAAAGGTGTGTGCTATCATGCCCAAATTCCTAAATATTTAAAAGTTCTCTCTACCATGTCATTCACTTGTAATGTTGTCTTCTGTGTATTTTTTTTAAAGTGGGGCTGGGAGTCAAACACAAGGCCTTACACATACTAAGGAAGTACTCTACCACTGATAGAGCTTTAGCTCCTAAGAGTACTGTAAAACAATACTGTGAGCCAGGTTTAGTTGTGCCCACATTGAATCTCAACATTCAGGAGGCAGAGGCAAGCAAATCTCTGTGAGTTCTAGGACAGCCAGGGCTACACAGAGAAACCCTGTCTAATAAAAGATTGCTTCCAGTGGGACTCCACTGCCCCATCTATATAACCAAAAATCTCTTTTCTGAGACAGATTTCTCTGTGTAACAGCCCTGACTGTCTTGGAATTCGCTCCATAGACCAGACAGACTGCCTCTGTCTCCCCAGTGCTGGGATTAAAGGCGTGCACCACCACTGCCTGGCTCTACAACCATGTTAACCTAGACTACATAAATTACAAGCAAGTCTGGGATACACCGGCCTGGCAAAAAAAAAAAAACTCTTAAGTTTTTTTTTTAATTTTAATTAAAGAATAAAGCATGTCAGAAATGGAATAAGGGACGTTTTTCTTGCCCCAATGCCACAAAACAATTTTGAAAATACTTCCTGACACAGAAACATAGATTAGATGTGTAAATACAAAACAAAAAGATAGTTAATACAATTTTACTTGTATGGCCCAATATTGTTTAGTTCTACATTAGGAGAAAAAAAAAGTCAAAAATACCAGAACACTAACAATTAACTGATAAATCTAAGTTCCTTTCTGTTTACTACTCTACTTTACAAGTTGCATAACAAAATACTTACCAAATCACCAATCCCCCTCCCTTATACGCAACAGTAAGACAAAAACAATTCCTTTTATGAATAGTATGGTTTTTCCCTAAGAACCTTCAACTCTTACAAACAAAAATCATTGAACACCAAAAGTTTACATAATAATGAAGGATGTTAAAATCTTCAAGATGCTGCTCACAAAGACACAAAGGCTAAGCTTCCATAATAAATAAACTACGCCACTCGAGAGATAAGACTCATAATTAGTTGCACGCCAAAGAGCAGGTGAAAAGCAGGAAGGAAATTATAAGACTTCTAAAAAACACGAAGATGTGGGAACATAGTGAGTACCTCCAGTATCTGTACATCAGGACAGAGTAACGATGGAAAAAGAGAAAACACAGTAGATAGGTAGAACCTGGAAACAGCTGCCATCAGCAGATCCAAGGCACGCACTTTCTCTATGCTACTCATCTGCCTCACTCTACTTGGTTTAGCAACGTGTTATCAACATAATACCTGACAGAAATTTAACATACAAGCTACCATTTTATTACTAGAACACACTGTACTCATGGAAAAGATTCCTCAAAAATCATTTCCAGTGGTGCTGTGGCTAATTTTTTCCCATTTAGGTATTAAGAGATGATTCTAGGCAGGAAGTGGTCGTGGTGCATGTCTTTGATCCCAGCACTCAGGAGGCAGAGGCAAGCAGATCTCTGTGAGTTCGACATCAGTTTGGTCTACAAAGTGAGTTCCAGGACAACCAGGACTATTAAACAGAGAAACCCTGTTTCGCATTTAAAAAAAAAAAAAAAAAGAGAGAGAGAGAAAGATGATTCTGGTACTCACCACACTCACCCCTTCTTGAGTCACTTATTTCTGCCTAGGAGTCCTAAGGGTTGTTTGCTTGTTTGACTGGTCAAGTACAGAAATAGGCGGAATGGGGGTGAGTGGGGAGTTGGGTGTGTATAACAAGGAGTTCAATCAGTGACTGACTGTAACAATCAAGATTACCTTTGGATTAGCCATGGTTTTGTGAGGTTTTGTATTTCTATGAGAAGACAACCCAAGTTCCCTCAGTCTTGCCTTTTTTGAGACCCAAACCTCTCTCAAATGTAGACTATAGTGCTCGCTTCGGCAGCACATATACTAAAATTGGAACGATACCAGAGAAGATTAGCATGGCCCCTGCGCAAGAAAAAAAAAAAAAGAATGTAGACTATAGAGTAGGTATTTGAGAGAGGTTTGGGTCTCAAAAAAGAGGCAAGAATGTAGACTATAGGGCTGGAGAGATGGCTTAGAGGTTAAGAGCACTGCCTACTCTTCCAAAGGTCCTGAGTTCAATTCCCAGCAACCACATGGTGGCTCACAACCATCTGTAATGGGGTCTGGTGCCCTCTTCTGGCCTACAGGTATACACGCAGACAGAATATTGTATACATAATAAATAAATAAATATTTAAAAAAAAGAATGTAGACGATAAGAATGGTTCTCATAGCTTAATCTGATTTAAAAACTGCATTTTCACATGTTAAAAGAAGACTAATTTTAAGAAGTTAGCCATATTTGATCTAAATAAGGTAAACAGTTACTGTCAAGGAAGCAAAATGGAAAACCTATTTTTTTTGGGGGGGGGGGCGGTTTGGGTTTTGTTTTTTTCGAGAAACGGTTTCTCTGTAACTTTGGAGCCTGTCCTGGAACTAGCTCTTGTAGACCAGGCTGGCCTCAAACTCACAGAGATCTGCCTGCCTCTGCCTCCTGGGTGCTGGGATTAAAGGTGTGCGCCACTACCTCTGCCTGGATTCCTACTTCTATTCTTAAGACTAACCCACTATAAAGTTTGTTTGTCAAAGAAATTATTGCCTGGGGCCACTCATTCATCCCATGCCTTTTCTTAGAAATCCCAGATTTGCTAGGCTGTGGTGGCACACACCTTAGATCCCAGCACGTCCTCAGGGGCAGAGGGTGGCTCTGCCGGATCTCTGTGAGTTCAAGGCCAGCCTGGTCTACAAGAGCTAGCTCCAGGACTGACTCCAAAGCTATAGAGAAACCCTGTCTCGAAAAGAAAAATAATAATAAAATAAAGAATAAAAAAAAAATCAACACATAGTCAACTAAGAATTTAAAATCCATATTTTTTATCAAATACTGATAGGCTGTAAATTGACTAGTGAAGTTGAAAATAGTAGCACTGATATCTATAAACTAGAAGCAATTTAAATGTTTACTAGCATGGGATAGAAATTTATGGAGTATCAACAGAATAATACAGAAACGGACATCAAGCAGAAGACAGTAATAAAGTAAGCTTGGGAGGCAGAGATGAGACAGGTGGATCTCCGTGAGTTCAGAGCCAGCCTGGTCTACATGGTAAACATTGCAGAACAGCCAAAGGTGCATAGTGAGATCCTGTCTTGAAAACAACAATAATCATCATAAAACAAGACTGCCTGTGTACGTACAGATTGAAAAAAAGAAAAAAAACTATGTTTATGGATACAGAGATGGTAAATATAAAGACAAGATTATCAAGCTGAAGAAATGGTTTAGCAGTAGTCAAGCACACTGGCTGCTCTTCCAGAGGCCCTGGGTTTGATTCCTGGCACCCCAATAACAGCTCACAATTGTCTCTAACTCCAGGCCCAGGCGATCAAACACCCGACCCTATTCTGGTTCTGAGGGTACTGCATACACACAGTGCATGACATATATGCAGACTAAACACCCATACACATTAAAACATAAAGTTATCTCCAAGAACTGAGATGCTATGAGGAGGAACAGGTCAGGGATGATGGCATTCTATTTCTTAGGTGTAGTTACACTAATCTGATCTGTAAACAGTGCCTACATATTCCACAACCTTAAGGGAGGGTGCTGTAGTGTGCTTGTCTAGCATGTACAAAGCCCATGGTTTGATCTCCCATCCACACAGAATGAGTTTGGTGGCAGCATATTTATAATCTCGGCACCTGGGAGGCAGAGGCAAGAGGAGCAGAAGTTCAAGATCATGTTCCACAGCAACAAGCCAACCCAAAATTCCTAAAACCCATCTCAAAGAGAAAAAGATCAGCCTTCTAAGTGGGTCCAAAGAACCATTCCTTTCCCCCTTTGAAGAAAGCAAAACTGTACATCTTTTTCTTCATGCAGCCAAGTCAGTTTAATACAACAAATCACAACTCAGAGCTGGAGAAGTCGCTTAGTGGTGAAGTGCATGCTTAGCATGTGCAAAACTCTAGGATCAATCCTCTGCACCAAGTAACAAAAACAAACAAAAACCTGGTAAAAACAGAAATCATAATCAAATATTAGAAGGGAAAATACTGAAGCTCAGAGGACTTACACCTGGAACTAAATGCAGGCGAGCAAAGAGCAAAGAAAAGGTGTTCGTGTAACACCCCATTCTGAGGCCAACTCAGAAACAGATACTCACAGATAAAGCAGAGGAGTGAGAAGCATGGCACATCAAGCACAAACCACTACTGACTAAGCATGCAAGCTTACGGGAAAATATCCTTGATTCTGTAGCTGTTATAAAAGAGGACAGCCACACCCAAAGTCCCTAAAGGGGCTTTGATTTATGTTGTTTTTGTTTTTTCAAGCAACTCAAATTCACAGTAAAATTCAACAACTTTTTGAGTTTTAGTTTGGAGACACAACATCAACACTAGCTTTTGCAAGGAGATATGGAACTGTTTAAGTTCTTGGAGAAGTATAAAAGCTTATCCCAGAGAACTAAAAGTTATCAGGTAAATATTAGTTCATGGAAACATGTTTGAAAAAAATGTAGATAATCCAGAATAAGCAAGCTTAAAAGGTATAAAAAGTTTATAACTACATTCTCAAAAAAACCTCACTTGTTTTTTTTTTCTTTTCTTTTCAACCATTTAGGTCTTAGTTGATGCTTTGCAATGTAATCCTGCATGTTCAGTTGACGTAGATTTTAAGGGACCACTGTCCAAGGAACAGTTTCCCACATCTGCAGTTTTCTAGCAGCTTGCGGTTTCTAGCGGACAACACCGAGAATGAATGACAGGATTTGTAGTTTCAGTATCATCAAGGGGGTGGGGGTAACGGACTGCACACATACTTCCAGCATATGAATGATTTTAACTCACCAGTCACCATGTTGCATGTATGTCTGCTGCTTGTCCTGAGTTCTTAAGACTTCTAACATTCTGAAGAAGATAGAACAAAGAAGTTCCTTCCATCCTCAGCCTCTTTTTAAGTTTTAATTTTGTTCTTAAAAAGATAGTTTATTAAAAAGAAACATTACTACCAAATTTGATTACTTTTAGCTTGCTTTTCTTCAAGCTTAGTGGATCAAACTGTATAATAAACTAGATGTTTTGTGTTAGAAAAAGGAGATGCATATTTTTCCATATTTCTCTTTCACAAACCTAGATTTCCTTGACACCAGATCACGGTGCTGGGACAAAAAAAAAAAAAAAAGCAAAAAAAAAAAACTAAGAAGGACTTAAGTCACTTGATTTCTGTAGTGACAGGGGAAGATTTTAGAAATTTCTGCTGGATACTTTAGAAAATACAAAGAAAAAAAGCAAATCATTGATCAAGTTTATCAACGTTTAGAACCGGCCCTTATTCGGAACAGAAAAGCAAGCCCCTCCCACCCATGCGGGGGCGTGGGGGGAGCAGCATTTAAGGATTTAAAGCGGAATTTTAAAGCTTGGAGAGTTTGGTACCATACACATTAGAGGATCTCTTTCCGGAGCGCACAGAGGTGACGTGTATCAACTGCGCTTATGGACAAATTGATTTCTCATAGAAGAAAAAGCAGGCACTAACGAAGGGCCTTGCAGTGTTAAATTAACCTTCTCTCCTCGTCACAAAGCACCAGTACAAGGTGAAAAAACCCAAGGGGACCCAATGCCCTCTCTGGCCAATAGGACTCCGTTTCCGAAGCAGGGTAGCACCCTCCCCAAGCACCCACCCAGTACGTGGGCCTTCCTTAAATGACAGCATTCTTCAGTTAGTACGAGCAATCTTGTCTGCCTCGCAGAGGAACGGAGCCGCAAGCCAGACAGCAAAGCCGCTAGGTTTCTTTGCGGACCTAGGCCACCGCAGCCCCGGACGTCACCAAAGCAGGAAGGGCCCAACCCTCCACGTTCCCCACGCAGCGAGTCGCTCGTCCGCCAGGCTGCCGGCCCTCCGCTCGGAGGGGGCGTCCTGCGCGCACTCGGGACGGCGCGACTAACCAACAGCAGGGCGCGCGCCGCACAACCGGGGGGGGGGGGGGTCGCGGAGAGGCGCGCGCCCCAGAAGCCGCTCTAGCCCACGGGCCACAGCTGAGAGCCAACGGGGACGCGCACGTCGAGCGGCAACGCGCAACGGGAGGACCGCACAGCGCGCGCGTTACCGCGCGCGCGCAAAAAAAAAGAGGCTCATGCGCGCGCCCCGAGGCGCGTGCCCCTGCGCCGCGCCCACCCGGAGCCCGGGCCCGCCCCTCCCCCACCGACGGGGCGGAGGCGCGCGAGCCGAGGGCCGGTCTCCGTTCCCGGCCGGCCCGAGGTCGCTGGGGCCCAGCGGCGGCGGCCCGCCCGCCCCCGCCCGCCGTTGTGTGGTGTGGGCCTGCTGCCCCAGTGCCACAGCCTGGCTGCGTTCCCGCCACCACCAGAGCCCTCACCCGGCGACGCCACCGCCGCCGCTGCCTCCGCTCTACCCGCCGGCCCCGCTTCACCGCCCGGGGCCTCGGTTCTGCCGTCGCTGCTCCAAGACCGACAGGATTTTCTCCTCACAGCTCCCTGGGCGCCATCTTACATTCAACCCTCACAACCAATGGGAGCGGAGTACACCTCTCGCGAGAATGGAAGCAGCGGATCCCGCGAGAGCTGCCGGTCAGACTTAAAGGGAACGCTTCTGAGTGAGAGGGAGATCGGTGGGACTGAGAGTGGGTCCCTGGTTGTTGAAAGGAGCGCCACGCCCATGGACGCCCCTCCATGAGGGGAGGAGCTTAAGCCTGGGGTTCGATACCCCGGGGTTATTTTGCTCCCGCCCGGGGTCTGGAAGCGTGCTTCTTGAACCCACCTACGGTGTCCCGCTGGCGCCTCCCCTAGCCCGCTCAACTCCTCGCGAGGCGTGGCCCGGCCTACCTCGGCATCGTGGTTAAGGTGGCCCCACAAACCCCTAAACTGGGCTCAGCTTTAACAGTTGTACCGCCCCTGGGAAATGCTCGGAGCTGCGGGTACTCTAGAGAAAACAGCTTGGGAATGCTCACCTTCAGCTGCCATCTGAGATCAGTTTACCAGAGTCAGGTCCACCTTAAAGCGGGCCTTGGGTAGCCCAGTGTTTGTATACAGGGAAAATGTGGAAGGCGTTAAAGCTGCAGGCACTCACCTACAGCCTCCCCAGCAACTGACAGCAACCCAGAGAGCAATCAGCCTCTGGGTGAGTCTTTCTGCCTATTGCACTTGTTCCAGTCCTGGCAAACTCCTCTTCAAACTCCTCCGAGGTCCTTCTCTGAGATGGGATCCAACCTAAACTGCAGCTGGATCAGGAGCCTCAGTTTGTAGAGGCATCCAGGGAGACTTCTGGGGTTTCTAAGCTTGAAAGGCCACTTTATCTCACTCTGTTTGCGCAGGAGACAGTTTTTTTCTGAATGATCATTCTGTTGATCTGCCTGGCTCCAGACAAACCTAAAGCCCTCCCTCCGACTGATAACTGGAGCAGCATCTCCCGGGGCCCTCAGGTTTCTCATACAAAGTGCAGACCTAATCCCCGCGCCATGCACCGCCATGCACCTGTCTTTGAGAACTAGCGGTTCTGGCACTCCCTCTGTCCTGGGGAAGCCCGTTCTTCAGACTGCGTGTGTAAGCACCACCACCAGCAGTTCACACAGCATATCTCCAGAGGCCTCAAATACTAGAAAGGCAAACAACAAATGGACTCCAGAGATTTAGTTATTCTTTATTGAAATAGAGTATGGGGTGGTGAGGGCACCCCCAGCTCCCAGGATGAGGTAGGTCCACATGTTTTCAGTTCACACCTTTCCTGGATCTTCCTTCAGTGTGACAGTTCGGTTGAAGACAAGCTGAAAGGCAAGAAAAATGACCAACAGCCCAGAAGCAGGCCTCTTACTCTTCCCCAAGGAAGTGATGTCTCAAGGGACAGAACATCAATAACTCTGCAATATTGGATACGGGGCTAAATAATAACTGTGCTGCTGCCGTGCCATAGACTCATGAGGATTATGACAACCTCTAAGCATGCATGCTACTTTGAAGAGTAAAAAGGTCAGGATCCCTATTAAATTTTGTGCTTGGACCTAACCCTCTAAAATTAGTTTCCTCAAAAGTAACACATGAATACCCCTCCCTTAACCGGTGAAGGCTAAGAGAATGTAGGGAGTGTTTATTACAGTGAATAGCTGCCACCATCAGTACTGCAGTGGTAAAGGTACTGTGGGTAAAGGTAAGCACCTGTCCTTGTTGGCTATCTGGATCAACAGAGAAGTATCCGAGGCGCTCAAACTGGAACTTGTCAAAGGGCTTTGCCAAAGCCACGGAGCAGTCCACTAACGCTCCTTCCACCACTTGTAGTGAGGCCTGCAGGCAGAGAATTGAAGTAGCTGTACAGCCGGGAGGCCCACCACCCTCAGCTCCCACTCCATGAGCCTACCGGGTTCAGGTCACTTAGGAAGCCACCAGGCACTTCAACAGGGTCTTCGGGGTTCTTGTGCTGGAATCTGTGGCCAGAGTGAAAATCAGGCCTGAGCTGGAGAGCCACAACATGCAGTTCCCTTCGTGTGACTGCCCCAATGCCAGTTATGTTCACTCACAGTCGCTCATAGAGGCGAATCTCACACAGCAGAGGCTGTGACACCCAGTGAATAAAGGCCTTGGGCTTCTCTCCAGAATCAGCTCTTCTACAGGTCACCTCCAAGTACTCCACACAGCCACTAGAGCCCTAGAAGTGAGGGAAATGCAATCAGACCAGGGAACCATCACAAAGACCGCTAGCTACACACAAAGCTTGGCCCTAGCAGGCAATATCGCAAAGACTGCAGCTGCCTCTTACCTTGACAACATGCTGCAGTTCAATGACATAGCCAGTATGTCTCAGGCCCACAGGCTGGCCACAGGCCAGGCGCTTATAGCCTGGCTCTGACTCCTAGAGAAAAGAATCATGGAAGTTACAGGGGCTGCAAGCATCATGCAAGTACAGGGCTTCTCCCAACCCCATGTTTATCAGGGATTGGTTCATGGTAAAGCAGGAAGGAGATGGACTTAGAGAAGGGATGAGGATACTACAAGACCCCCATTTACCTCCTTAAAGTCAGTTCTCTCAATGAAGACAGTGGAAGCAAAAGGAACCTGGTGGAAGCCCTTGGTCTCATCAGCTGGGAAGTCTGGCACTTGGATGTCCAAGGACTGTATCAGGAGATAGGGATCTCTGTCAGGCCAGATACTAGGATCCCCGTGTACTCTCGCACACACTGAGATAAGCCCACCTTGGGAGCAGGAAAGTTAGTGATGACAACTTTGAGTGGCTCTAACACAGCCATGGCTCGTGGAGCTGTATCATTTAGCACATCACGCACGCAGGCTTCCAGAAGATGTGGTTCCATTGTGGTCTGTGCCACTGTAACTCCCACCTGTCAGGAAAACAGTCATAGCTACAGCCACAAAGCCACACTTAGGCTGTTTCTACCCGCTCAATCCACTGGATCATACCCGAGCACAGAAGTTGTTGATGGCCTCAGGTGGAAAACCCCGTCGTCGTAGGGCTGTAAGTGTGAAGAGCCGTGGGTCGTCCCAGTCCCTATGAATACGATGATAGTCAAAAGACCTTAAAACAGCACAAGTCACTGGTACTACACCTCTGGTGAACCCAGCTCCATACCTACCGAACGGCACCAGCTGCTACAAGCTGGAGAATCTTCCGCTTTGAGACAACAGCATAGTGCAAGTTGAGGCGGCCATATTCCCACTGAACAGGGCAATAGACATCCAGCGCATTACATAACCAAAAGTAGGAAGACCGTCTAGGATGGAAGGATAAGGTTAGACCTGGCCACGTGGGGGGCCAGGGAGAGACCAGAGAAAAGGCACTAGAAGCCATTGAGAGGGCTCAGCAGATAAAGGTACTTAATGCCAAGTCTGAAGAACCGAGTTGTCTCCCTGGAATCTACTTAGTGCAGAGAGAGAGCTGACTCTGACAACTGTCCTTTGATCTCAACACACGTGCTGTGGCACCCGCACACCCACTTGCATGCATTTACACACTCCAAACAAAAAAGGAATTCCCTTACCCTACCCATCCCATAAGCTCAGCCTCCTCACCGAGCCTGGAATTCCTTGGTACACAATGAGTGGGTGATGTGCTCAATGGAGTCACAAAGACAGTGTGTATAGTCGTAGGTGGGATAGATGCACCTGTGGGACATAGACAGCAGATCCCACTAACCCGTCCCCTCTGCCCTATCCCACTGGCTCTTCCTTAATCCACCCCTCCCCATACCAATATGTACCATTTGTCCCCTGTCCGATGGTGTGGTGTATATTTGACTCGGTAGGCCACAGGGTCCATCTTGCCATCCTCCATCACCAGTTTCATTCGAAGTGTGGCCTCACCCTCTGCGAACTTGCCCTTGCGCATTGCCTGAGGAGAACAAGAGCTCAGACTACCTCTACACACAGAAACATCTCATCCTTAGCACACTGGCCTTGCCAAACCAAGCTGTCCTTCCGGGATGCCACCTCAAAGAGCAGCAGCGATTCCTCAACAGGCCGCTCCCTCCATGGTGAAGGCAAAGAGTTGTGGCCTTTGAGCTCCTCCACTCTCTGGTGACACACATAAGCTTGACCCCTGTGAAAAGGGATATGAATGTGCAGGTTGTCCATGACCTGGTCAGTTTACCTGGTTCAACATGATGGGCCTGGCCTCACCTGCGGATGAGTTCCACAGCCCAGGCATACAGCTGGTCAAAATAGTCAGAGGCATATGTTACTTTGTAAGGTGTGTAACCTGAGGCAGTAGAGACATAATATGAAGAGCCAGCAAGAAACACTAACTGGCAAAGCCATGACCCACAAAGAGGTCCACTCACCACCAGCCCTGCCCAGGCCTCACCCAATCCCTACCCAGCCAGGTCACCATGTCATAAATTGCAGTGAAGAATTTTGCTTCTTCTTTCTCAGGGTTGGTATCGTCAAAGCGCAGAAAACAGATACCATTGTTGGCCTAGAAGAGTTGGAGCACCTGTGACGTCCCACATACTCATAAGCCCCTACAGGACACATCATCCAACTCAGACACTCTCAGAGCTCAAGCTTATCAGAAGTTAACTACCCCAGCGAGACAGCAGCAGCCAGAAGCAGCTGCTACACACGCCTTAGGACCTGAGTTTGATCTGAAAAATTATGGTGGAAAGAACTGACTCAGTTTTTCTTTGACATCCACATATGTGCAATAGCATGAGTGTGCATGAGTGCATGTATGAGTGCAGGTATGTGCACACACACACAACTCGTTTTTATGAGACAGTTTCTCTGTGTAGCCCTGACTATTCTGGAACTCACTCTGTAGACTAGGCTGGCTTCACAAAGATCCACCTGCCTCTGCCTCCTGAGTGCTGGGATTAAAGGTGTGCACCACCACCTCTCAGCCCGAAGAATATTTGTTTTAATTAATGTCTTCTTTTGATGACTAGCACTAAAAAATTTTAAAGTTAAATAAAAGGAATTCGGGGGCTGGAGAGATGGCTCAGTGGTTAAGAGCATTGCCTGTTCTTCCAAAGGTCCTGAGTTCAATTCCCAGCAACCACATGGTGGCTCACAACCATCTGTAAAGAGGTCTGGTGCCCTCTTCTGGCCTGCAGACATGCACACAGAGAGAATATTGTATGCATAATAAATAAATAAATATTTAAAAAAATAAATAAATAAAATGAAAGGAATTCAAGAAATTCTCTCACATCCACAGGGTATAGTGGTACATGCTAGCACTTGAGAAGCAGAGGCAGGCAATCTCTGATTTCAAAGTCAGCCAGAGCTATAGAGGAAAGCCCTATCTAAAGAATTATTTTAGTTTTTCCCCAATGAACCCAGCATTTTCTGAGGATGCCTGTTACATGTGTTTTCCCTCTATGGTCTCTGTCATCAGGTACAAAAGGCAAGAAAGAAATCTTTCTGGAATCCAGTCAGGGGTAGCCAGTGATCATATTACTTTCCAGGGACACAGACACATACTTACCTTAGCATAACCAAAGTTGAAATTGATGGCTTTGGCATGTCCGATATGCAGAATTCCATTGGGCTCTGGGGGGAACCGGGTACGTACCTGAGCAAAGGGATTGGGACACTATTGGGAATAGAGCTCAGATCACCCAACAGAAACAGATGCCCATTCCTAGGGAGGCTATGGTAATCGGTGAGATGGACTCAAGCCATAACCCTACACACCTGTCCCCCTGTGATCTCTAGGTGCTGCTGCAGCAGATCCATAGTGTGTGGAGTGGTCACATAGCCTGGAGTCTTGTAGTTTTCACCTGCCAGGATCAGAACAAATCTGACGGCCAGGCTGTTAGCCAAGGAGGCTGAGTCTACAGGCCTGGCTATAATGCTAATCACGATTCGACTCCAGAGTTTCAAGGTACCCCCTTACCTGGTTTATGAAACTTAAGGGCCTCCCCCCGGAGCTGCTCCATTAGAGACAGGGTCTGGCCAGGAACCTCACCTGCAGGGAAGAAATCAAGAACCTTGCCTACTAGAGATAACAACCATGCCCAACTCAGGAAAATATCTATGG